GGGTGAGGTGGAATCTGCATGTTGTTTTGAGTTGTATTTCTTTTATGGCTAGAGAAGTTGAACATTTCTTCATGTGTCTATTGGCCATTCTTACTTCCTCTTCAGAGAAGTATCTCTTTAAGTCTTTAGCCCACTTATATATTGGGCAGTTGTTTGAAGATTTGTTATTGGTGGCTTTAATTTTTTGAGTTCTAAGTATATTTTAGATATGAGACCCTTGTCTGTTGTATGGCTAGTGAAGATCTTCTCCCAATCTGTGGGCTATTGATCTTGCTATGTCCTTTGCCATGCAGAAACTCTGCAATTTCATGCAATCACATTTGTCCAACCTGTCTTTGATTTGTTGTTTTTCTGGGTCTTTATTAAGAAAATTTCAACCTGCGCCAAGGTTCTCCTATTCCTTCCTGTAATGTTTTCAGAGTGTCTGCTTTGACTCTGAGGTCTTTGATCCATTTGGAGTTGATTCTAGTGCAGGGTGATATATGGGGATGGGGATCTAGCTTTAGTTTTTTACAGGTATTTAACCAATTTTACCAGCACCATTTACTGAAGAGGCTGTCTTTCTTCCATTCTATTTTTTTTTAGCTCCCTTATCAAAGATTAGGTGGTTATAGGTCTTTGTGTTCATTTCTGGGTCTTCAGTTCTATTCCATTGGTCTTCAGATCTGTTCTTGGGCTGGGAAGGTGGCTCAGCGGTAGAGTGCATGCCTTGCAAGCATGAGGCCCTGGGTTCGATTCCTCAGCACCACATAAATAGAAAAAGCCGGAATTGGCGCTGTGGCTCCAGTGGTAGAGCGCTAGCCTTGAGCTGAAGAGCTGAGGGACAGCGCCCAGACCCAGAGTTCAGGCCCCATGACTGGCAAAAAAAACCAAAACCAAAAACAAAAAACAGATCTGTTCTTGTGTTAGTACCAAGTTGTTTTGATTACTATGGCTTTATAATAGAGTTTGAAATTTGGTATTGATATTCCTCCAGCACTGTTCTTTCTGTTAAGGATTTTTTATTTTTTTGCTGTTAGGGGTCTTTTATTGTTCCATATGAATTTTTGGGTTGCTTCTTCTATTTCATTGAAGAATGAAGTTGGGATATTGATGGTATCACATTGAATTTTTAGATAGCCTTTGGCAGTATTGCCATTTTCATGATGTTAATCCTCCCAATCCAGGAGCATGGGAGGTTTTTCCACTTCCTTAGTTCTTCTTTAATTTCCTTTTTCAGGTTTTTAAAGTTTTCAGGTCCTTCACTTCCTTAGTTATCTCCTAAGTATCCTATTTTTTGTGGGGCTATTACAAAAAGAGCTGCTTTTCTGATGTCAGCCACACTCTTCTTGTTATTGGCATACAGAAAATCCATTGATTTTTTTTTTTTTTGGGGTCCGGTCGTGGGGCCTGAACTCTGGGCCTGGGCGCTGTCCCTCAGCTCTTCAGCTCAAGGCTAGCGCTCTACCACTTGAGCTAC